CTCTGTCGATGAAGCAAGAATAGGTCGATTGTGCTGCATGCACTCCAGAGCTATCGACAATCTCTTTTACTCTGGTATGTTGTTCAAAATGATTTTTTAAAAATATAATCACAAACTACGCAAAGTCACTTCACCGATGTAACCTGTAAAACGAGTGTTCCTTTTCTAGTCTCAGAACGCTCTGCATAATAYAACACCGTGAGAAGGCTATATTTCAGGCAGGCATCTTGACCACCAGTGACGTTGCCATACAGGACAGGACATCCCTTCACCTGATGGATATGGCTGGTACAAGAGTGGTGTTGACCATTCCGGAGATGTCCAAGATGTTTGATAAAGATATGCCCTTCTTCTTTTCTTTTCTTTTCCTACATGTTTAATAGATTGTTAGGTATTTTGTGCGTGTGTTTTTAGCTGTTGTTATACTTTGTGCTTCAACCACTAATCAACAGACTAGCACAGTACTTAATGTCATCATTGAAGGTTGGTTTGGTTCTCATCGGCTTGAAATTTCAGAAAGATAATAAAAGAAAGAATCAGAAAATGGTCTGCATTAACTGTAGTATTAGGGCGATGTATAGCGTCTTTATCAAGAATCATATCGTAATATATATCTGCAAACAGCTATGTTTTTAATAGAAATGTATCTAGTGGAGATGAAATTAAACAAGCGGAAAAACAAAAAACAGGTAGAAATGAACCKAAGAATAAGTAAAAGCTGCATTTTCTGCCGTGAATTTAAACAAATTTTTCATCAACTTTTTGCTATTATCAAGAGTGACCGAGTGGAGCCTGGGCACCAGTACGAATTGCTGTATCACGAAAACGGTTATATTGATAAATTTGAAATGGTGTTTTCTATCCTTTTGATGAAAAAAAAAAGTTGTTTTATCGTTTAGCAGTTTGTTACTGGTCATTCAGGTATCATTTAGTGTAAAATAGGCAAGTTAAAAGTTCTACCACAGGGAGCCCGTTAAGACATTCTTTGAACCTTTATTACCCCTTAACAGGATATCCGCTAAAGTTTGAACTGGGCACCGGGTCTAATATTGATCACMAAACCCTAACCAACATCCATGCCYATTTGGGTRCTTTTGTCTGCTCTGTATAGACCTTGCCAAAATTTTGCACTTAGCCACCTGGTCCCGGTTGTACAAAGCCTGGATAGTGCTATCTGGTGGATAAATCCTTATCCATTGGATCATAAGTCGATGCTGTTTATCCACTGGATAGGATYTATCTATTGTTCTATAATACTGTCTGAGGGGGCACGGTTCATGTCCTTTGAGCTGRTATAAACGGTAATTAACCGTAGCGGCCGGCTATTGCCGACAAGGGCAACCCACTTCCGAGTTCCGAGTTGACTTCCAATTTTGAGTTCCGGTCTATTGCATCAGACATAAGCTTACATTTTGAATAGAGTGCATTCAGTCTCACTGTTGAATAGTTAGATAAATTTATCTAACTT